TGAAGAACATGTAAAACAATGTTATATAATTTATGGATATACAAGTATGAATAAAAGTATTAAATTCATTGGAATGATAAACACACTGCTGATGAGGTAGCCTCCAAAGAAGAAGAGATGGTAACTGGGAACACAAAGAGAGCATTAGCTGTATCTGGCTGGTTTCCTTTTTTGTTCACTACTGGAAGTTGAATCTTGAACCTAGCACCCTCACACAGAGCTCCATCCCCTGTGTTTGAGACAGGGTCTCAGTAAATGGTTCAGGATGGGCTCAAGTCCATCATCCTCCTATTCAGTCTCCCAGAGTACTGGGATTAAAGGAATGCACCATCATACTCAGCTTGGTTTATTTGTCTTTTTATTTATTTAATTTTTTTGGTGCTAGGAATCAAACTCAGGACCGTGCTCTTGCTAGACAAGTGCTATGCCACTGAGCTATATCCCTGATCCTTTTTTATTTTAAAGAGAAAAGAAAGAAAAGAAATACGGAATTTCAAAACAAAATAATGGAAGATTAACAATGGTTAATATATTGTGTATTGTTATTTTCAAAGTAGTTGTTCAGATTGCAAGATATAGGCATGCATAATTTATCAAACAATGTAGGTACAAACTTTTTTCAATGAACTAAAAGAAGACAGTAGTATAACTATCTTATCTACTGCATCAGCTTAATTTATTTCTTAAAAATGAAAAAAAAAATAACAAACTCCAGGAATATTTTTCTCAAAAGCTCCATAAAGTTGTTTTTAAGATTAAATAGCTAAATACTTTTTCTTAAGAGAACTGAATAGATGAAACTAAAAAATTTAAATTCACATGAAGAGCTGATTTGTATCTCAGATTTATTTCAAGTGCTGCTGTCCAAGTCAAAGAACTTTTCCGTTCTCTTTCAGTCTTTCAAAGATTTTGACCATTTCATATATTTGGGGGAAATTCAAGTGTCATAATCATTCATGTGATTCACGCTAAAGAAATCTTTAGTTTAATAAATACAAGAAAATTAAGATGAGAATTAATGACTAAAGAAAGCAAAAATATTCCATTTTGTACACTGTTTCAGAGACATTTGGTAGTACTCTCACATTTCAGAGATCCAGTGGCCCAGCTCCTTCAGAGTAACATCCTTTTAATGCCTAAGTCAAAACCTGCCTGTAGGGCTGGGGATTTAGCTCAGAGGCACAGCACCTGCCCAGCAAGTGCAAGGTTGTGAGTTTGATTCCCAGTACCGGAAAAAAAAGGAAAAAAACCTGCCTGTAACTTCAGCTCTCTTATTTCTGCTTACCTCCCATCCTAGTTTTCTACTTCACTCTGACATTATTTTCTGCCCAGTCAGAAATAATAAAAACAG